GTTGAAACCCAGTCTTTAAAAAAAAAAAAAAGAATATGAAAAAATCTTTTCTTCCTAAGATTTTCTAGGGAACTGGCAAAGAAAGGGGTAAAAACAGTCTAAATGGTAAAAACAAAAAAGGGGTAAAAACAAAGAAAAGGGGTAAAAACAGTCTAAATTCGGAGTGGCCACATGAGATCAGCTTTCCACATTTGTGAAATATAATCATCTCTATTGAATGTTACTGAAAATGGAAACGGTAAAATATAACTGCAGAATACTGCTTTACAAAAACTTTCAGAAAATCATATTCTTTAAGTATTTTTCCCATTCACTTCATATAATCTGGATTCATTCATGCCCTAGTGTTTATTTATATCTTAAAGTAAAAAGTCTACTTGTACACATTGATTTCACAGCATCAGTAAATTTATATACTTGGAGATTTGCTTCTGGGTTATAATTCTTCCTCTGTGTCTCGTGACCGTTTCCGGGTATTCAAGGAATCTTCTGTCTGCAATGAACATGCAGAAGTAATAACAGTATCTCTAAATCCCTGAGGCTGCAAGATAAAAAATATAAATATAAAAATATGTTTTAAGAACATTTAAAGACCTATCTTCAAAATATTTTTAAGTAATTGGTAAGAAAGCTACTTTGTTCTAGGGCCGGGTTGCGGTGGCTCACACCTGTAGCTCCAGAACTTTGGGAGGCCGACGCAGGCAGATCACGAGGTCAGGAGTTTGAGACCACCCTGACCAACATGGTGAAACCCCATCTCTACTAAAAATACAAAAATTATCGGGGCATGTTGGCGCATGCCTGTAGTCCCAGCTACTCAGGAGGCTGAGACAGGAGAATTGCTTGAACCCGGGAGGCAGAGGTTGCAGTGAGCCAAGATCATGCCACTGCACTCTAGCCTGGGTGACAGAGCGACACTTTGTCTCAAAAAAAGAAAAGAAAAGAAAGCTACTTAGTTCTTGAGATAGATATTTATCACCCACTGTGAATGAAGAGGATAAACCTCATGGGTATTTGTCTAAGCCTGGGCTATATTAGAATATTTTATATATACTTATTTATATGCATGCATACACACACAGAAATAACATTTTATTATAAAAATGGTCTCTAAAGGATAATCCCAACAAACTTTAAAATAGCTTTGTTAGAAGAACTGAAAGGAAATAACCTAAGTCTTCGATATTTTACAGATTTATTTTCATCATTAAAGTTTTCCAACTAGGATATTTCAAATGCACCTGGATAGTGCAAAGTCTAGGTGGATAATTCAGTTTCAGAATCTCTATTTCTGTTTTTGTCCTTAAAAAAAATGAGATAAAGCCGCGAGCAGTGGCTCATGCCTGTAATCCCAGCACTTTGGGAGGCCGAGATGGGCGAATCACTTGAGGTCAGGAGTTTGAGACCAGCTGGCCAACATGGCAAAACCCTGTCTCTACTAAAAATACAAAAATTAGCCAGGTGTGTTAGCACACGCCTGTAATCCCAGCTACTAGGGAGGCTGAGGCAGAAGAATTGCTTGAACCAGTGGGCCAGAGTTTGCAGTAAGCCAAGATTGCGCCACTGCACTCCACTCTGGGCAATACAAGAAGACTCCGTCTCAAAAAAAAAAAAGAAAAAAAAAGAAAAATGAGATGCCAAAAATATACTTGGGCCTCAACATTATTGATAAATATGCATATTTTATCCAAAAAATATGTGTTCTATGATGTAAATTCACAGAAAAATTAACATCTTAAAGTGGGCTATATTTGGTGGCTACAATAGCTCTATAATACCTACAAGACCAAAATAAGTAATATTAGTATTTTTTTCTTTTCTGGAAATCTTCAACAACTTTCCCTTTAAAGATTTTTAATATCCTGACATTACATATGGCATGGAACACACTACCCGAAAATAAGCATTTCCTCTGTTCTTAAGAATAAATTTCAGTCCATTTGTGACTACAATATTCTCTATATTACTATTTTGGGGACGATGTTCTAAGCATCAAAAGCTGTCCTCAAATATGCTTGCTGCCTACAGAAGTTAACAGAAGCAAGTTGTAAATTCTCTCTTCAGATAATTACTGCCCACCAATATAAAAATCCCACTCTAATCAAATAATACTGACTGTGATTTGAAACAGTACTGTGGATTCCTTCTGGCTGGGTGACTTGTACAATGTTGCCAACCTGCTCAAAGAAAAATAATACATACAAACACATGAACTTAATTAATGGAAAGGTCAAATGACCAAACTCATAATTTAAATGTATAGGTTTATTACATTAATAAATCTATTATTTTTTTCTGTAAGGACAAAAATAGAGAGAAATATTAAAATACACCCTTAAATACCTGTATGTATTTAACAGAGTTGTTTACATGAGTGAAATTTTAAAAGTTCAATGACTGATTTAAATAAACTATCTTATATATAAGATATTAGTTATGCTAAAAACTAAAGGTGGAAGGCCAGGTGTGGTGGCTCACACCTGTAATCCCAGCACTTTGGGAGGCCAAGGTGGGCAGATCATGAGGTCAGGGGTTTGAAACCAGGCTGGCCAATATGGTAAAACCCCGTCTCTACTAAAAATACAAAAATTAGCTGGGGGTGGTGGTGCGCGCCTGTAGTCCCAGCTACTTGGGAGGCTGAGGCAGAAGAATTGCTTGAACTCAGGAGGCGGAGGTTGGAGTGAGCCGAGATCGCGCCCCTGCACTGTAGCCTGGTGCCTGGCGACAGAGTGAGACTGTGTCAAAATAAAATAAATC